AAGGACAAAAGGTATTGCTTCTTAAGCGGCAAGATCGTAATACTTTTACAATTTCAGAATGTGGTGGGCAGGACTGCAATAAAGCGCCTGGAAACTCTGAACGATGTTCTACTAGGGAAGGAAGACGAAGTTCCATTGTCGGCAAAAGGGGTTCAACACAACGTGTCGTTTTGCTATTGCATACTTTCAGGGTGAACTGAACGAAATGGCAAATCGGGTCGAGCTTATAGAAAAGGAGGTGAAGGACCTTACTGTACAAGAGAAGAATTTTAAAGCTTTGCTGATGGTAAGCGCGCAAAAATACAGGATTCCTTTGTATCTGTATCATGCTCTGTATCTGTATCTGTACCAGGTATCTCGAGATCATGAAATAGCTCTATTTGCGAGTGTGCTGGACGAAATTACAAATCGTGTAAAGCGCATAGAAGAGAAACTGAGAATTGCTCCTCTACAGACGAAGGGCAGAGTTCCACATATGGCAAGTTTTCAATAAGGGCGGAGAAGCATTTTTTTGATATCAATGTCCCTTTAGGACATGACAGAAGAATTTGGGCATCAAGCAAAGCAGATGGAAAGCAAAGTGCGGAGAGACGTTACAAGAGACAAGAGAGAAAAAGTTGCATGATGGAAAAGGAATGCCGGATAATAAGTTTATTCCACTATTTTAGAATATGCTGTACGAGATTGCACATCGGGAGCGCATAGAAAGTGAGATGAGGGATGCTTATCTGAAGCAGGCAGACAAAGGCACTCTTTCGGCAAGAGTAAAGCCGCCAAAATACCAAAATCTCACTTTTTACCATTCCAGGGTGTGCTGAACGAGATTGCCAACAGAATAGAGCGCATGGAAAGAGACACAAGGGTAAATTTTTTTTAAACAAGGAGATGAGCAAAACAACAAGGGCTCTTTCGATTTTTAATTTTAAAGAGCGTGGACGAGATTGCGAATCGAGTGCAATGCATAGAAAAAGAACTGGCATTCCATGGTTCAGGAAAGAAGGGAGACAATGCTTCGCTGAGGGCAAGAAAATGGCTTCACGACATTGGCAAAGTGAAACAAGATTGTGCTAGTATTTTGATTATAGATTTTGATTGATGCTATAAATGAGATTGCAAATCCAGTGGAGCGCGTGGAAAATTAGATGATGAGAGTTCTACAGGAAAAAAGAGAGCAGATGTTTTCTGTAAGGGTGAGACAGGCTTTTTTCATGGCGTAACTTTTTGATTTAGACTTTTGTCGGTGAAGATAATTTAAGCGTCATGACGCGTATGAGAAGAGAAGTTGGAGAATATGCTGCTCAAGATGCCCATCAAGTTTTGCTAATGGAAACGGAAAAGGCTCCTAAAGAGCGAGGATCAAAATCATCGCAGTCAGGGCTATCGTCTCTAGAAAATGTTCGTATTAAGGAGACGGAACTAAGATCAAGAAACTGTGTATTTTTCAATGGAAATCATTGGCAAGAGCATGGTAGAAGATACTCTTCATCATCGTGAAAACTTTAAGTTGACGAAATCAACGAGCAATGTCAGAAACTGCACCCTCATTTTACCAAGATACCTTGCCCGTGCGAGTTCGAGCTTTGTAGTTTGCAGCCTTGTTAATGCGTTTGAGAACAAAACTAATTAGTATTGAATCAACTTGTATTGTAATGCACGTAATAGTTTGACAACGAGGAAAATCAGTGGTCATATAAGCCATGAAGTTTCTGTCTTTATCGTTGTACATAAGAAAATCTAGCACTGCCATGTCTTGAGTTAAGATTTGTGCATTGGTACGTTTGGACAAATTTTTCTTCCACACATACAAACTTTTGCGCATGTAGGGTGCCGATGCAGAATCTGCACTCTTGATGAGTTATATAACACCTTAAGTTCAAGTTCTCTAATAGCATCTTTTTGTAGAATCAAAGAGATTGCGAGCGTTAGCATCTGCAATTTCTTGATAGAATCATTCCTAAAATCAGAAAAACTTTTAGAATTTTTATAGTTACGCTTTCCAGGAAGCAGCAGGCTGGGATATTACTCCTGAAATACTCTCTTCATGTGGTCGAATCGTCTTTTTTTGATTTCAGCTCAATGCAGAGAGAACCTCCGCTACAATTTCGCAGCAACTACTTTTTAATAAACATCATATGCTAGCTTTTTGGACGCAAAATTGACTACTATACATGCAAACAGTACACTTAACATTTGTAAATTTGGGCAGAATCATCAGAGTCATGTATAGTTCTCTATCCTCTAAACTCTTTGCAAGTGACTCGGCAAAGTTCGAGCTGCGGGGTCCTTACTCGCCAATCCAGGTAAAGTTTTAGTCTCCTAATAGTTACACTAAAGAGCACCATATTTGAGCTGAGGATTCCATTGTTATATTTGATCATCTGAAAAATCCAAAAACGCGACATTGTTATAAAGCCATTTGTTAACCACAACTGACTGGAGAGGCGTGAAGTGGCTGAGTATGTTTGATGGGACTAAAATCTAGAGTGATCGCTTGTGAACCACTGCAAGGGAATGTGGGCTCAATAAAAAAAACAAATAGCCTTATATCCCATTTGTTTTACCGATAACGTACTCAACACTGTTATTACAATTCTCTAGCACATCCATGTGTTCTCTTCTTTGAACCTGGGCATGTTCGTTCCGATAGTTATGAGGATTTTCTTTATGCCGACACCAGTTAATTGGTGGAACTCTATCAACTCAACCGGAACAATTCGTCTTCGTCAGGAGTCTAACGAAGAGTTCTTAGCACATCGTTATTGCCAAAACTTGTACCTTTTATAATCAAGAGTTCTAAGCTCTAAAAACCCTGCCCGTATCTCAGCGTATCTCAGCAGGTACAAATGATATCGCAGATCTCAATTCTACTTTGAGGGAAAACTATGAGGTAGACCTTACCTCGAATGGATTGGTACATATTGAAGATTGAAATTTACTTGATAATCAGAGAACGCTCACTGATGTGTATTCAAAATTCGACATGTTTATTGGCGTGTAAAGTACCTTATTGCTGCAGCAGGCACATCCGGCTCCAGCTCCCACTCAGATAATCGCCGGGGTAGGCGGCTATACGATTTACAGGCAAGCG